AACCAGAGATTGAACTCAGGCCCTTGTGCTTGCCAGGGAAGTGCTTATTCCACTGAGCCATCTCCCCGGCCCCTATGGGAAGCAGTGAAGGATGTACAGAACCTCCTGCATTCTGCTCTAGTCTTCTATGAGCCTGTAATTTTTCTAAGTAAATTCTAAGGGCTGGCCAAAGAGCTCAGTGGATTAAAGCGCAAGGGCCAGGGTTCAATCCCCAGCCTGCCATACTGGCCCCGGCTCCTGAGGCACGCTGAGATGGCCATTGAGACTGGGCATGGTGGCGCGCGCCTATAATCCCAGCACTTAGGAGGCTGTAAACAGGCGGATCACTACAAGTCCGATCTAGTAGTGAGACCCAGAACACCCTGTAGACCCTTCCTTAAAAAATACAGAAAAAATAAAAATAAATTCCAGAGAGATCTGTGCACTTTGTGTCCGGTATAAAACCTGCTTTCAGAGGTGAGCTGTAAACAGAAGTGACCTTTGTCTCATGGACTGATGCCCTTGATTCTTGTCAGGAAAATATGTTAAGTGATTAGTGGCAAGAGGATGAAAACTGTAAGAAAGAAAGTACGTGTCCTGTATGGGAAAAAACTTAACGAGTAGTTGGAGCCTAACTTTTAGGATCTGAAGAAAAGGCGAAACTAAGTTTGAGAGGGGCCGGCAAGGTAGCTTAGTAGAATAAGTGCTTGCGTGCAAGGGCCTGAGTTCAGTCCCTGGTTCTGCCAAAAAAGAGAAAGAAAGAAAGCTTAAGTCTGAGGAATGGAGGGATCGGCTGCGGGGAGGTAGAGGAGCGCTCCAGGCCTAGCCGCTCAGAACCAGCACCGTTAAATGAAGTACTGACTTTTGGAGAAGAAAAGCTTCAAACACTAAGAGTTAGCAAGATGTCTTAGAATTCAAGAATAATGCTGCTGGGGCTGGTGAGGTAGCTCTGTGGTCTAAAGCACCTGTTTAGGCAAGCGCAGGGACCACAGCCCCAGCACCACATGCTGAGCCAGCCCTGCTCCCAGGGCCAGCTCTGAGCTGTCCCCCGCCCCCCGCAAAAAAAAAAAAATAATAATAATGATGCTGTTAATAGTTGGCTAATAGTGTAATCCTGTACATAGGTTGGTGCTGCCTTACCCCTGGATGTCCTGACCTATGAAGAAAAGACCTCATCAGCCATCTTGAGAGTGTGTAGCAGGTATGACATGGAACTCTAGGCCCCTGACGGTGAGCCGAGGGTGCGTAGGAGGCAGCGGACATGCAGGTCCCTCTCTGCAGTGACGTTGCAAGTTGTATGAGTTGTTTTTTCTAAACAAAAACTTCAATGTTCAAGTTTAATTGCAGTATTGGCACTTGATGATAAGTGGGTTTGGGTTTGGGGCTTGGGAACTGTCTCTAAGAGGATAGAACAAGGCAGAGAAACTGATGGAGAAAGAGCAAAAGTGTTCACTTTCTGGGTGGAAAGAGTTGTGCTATTGTAAATTCTCAGCAACTTGTGGACAACGAATAGGAGCATTCTTTTAGCAGGGGCTTACAGAGAACAGAAGCTGTGGTTTGGTTAAAACTAGAGTTTTCTAGCTGATGGGTATA